ATTGTTGTTATGGCTCATAACTGATCTCATTACAGTTTAAATACCTTTTAAAAAATGGACCACACTGCTGTCTCCACCACTGATTCTCTGCTTCAGTTAAATTTCCCACAATCCTGCGGTGCATGGCTGTCACTGTCACATGGCCAAACAAACAAATACCACCATCAATCTCCTCCAGAAGCAAATGACATGGAAAGAAATATTGGTTATCATCAGACCAGTTTTATCTGACCAATACCGACATGTTAATAAATTACTAATATCAGCCATATTGATGTTAGTGGAGATATATTTTGTGGTCCTAATATAAATGCTGGAAATATATCATCAGCATTTTGAGGAATTTATGTTTGAGTTTCCCCTCTCAGATTTGAATTATTGAAATAAATTAACTTTTCCATTATTTTCTAAATCACTGAGGCGCTCTTGTATCCTAAGAACAAAAGCAGGAGCAAACAAACAGCATGGAAAGAGGAAGCAGATCTGTGAAAAACAAGATGAGAATAAGAGTGAGAGACGCCGCATTACCTCAGACTATGTAACAAAGACAAATGAAACACAGAATAACAAAAAAAGTATAAAAAAAAAAAAGTATGTTTAAAAGCAGTGGAAATCTTAGTGAAACTTTTCTCTGTCTCACAGGTCAGCCTTTTAATTCCCAGACTTTGGTAAACAAGGCTGTGTCCAACGTCATCTGCTGTTTGGTCTTTGGGAGCAGATTTGAGTACACAGACCAGCAGCAGCAGGCGATACTGGAGAAATTCCATGAGGTTGTGCGCTTACAGGGAAAAATAATGGTGCAGGTGAGAACTCTCCTTGAATCACAATATGGACTAAATCCATAACACATTTTGTGAAGGGGTGTAGAGTAGATTTGTGTTGTTTTAATAAAGGTATACCTTGAAATAAAAAATGTCTGTGACACCTAAAAGATTATGTTCTTGCTCTGTAGCTTTACAACGTATTTCCCTGGCTGATGAAGCGGCTGCCGGGGACGCATCAGACGCTATTCTCCAAAACAAGAGAGATAGTTGAATTCATAGAAATCAAGATCAAGGAGCACAGAGAGAACCTCGACCCGTCGTCTCCAAGAGACTACATCGACTCCTTCCTCATAGAGATGGGAGAGGTGAGAACTCTGCCGTCTCTCATTAAGCAAATGCTCTCATCTGATTCATTTATTTATTTTTATTTTTTTACTTACAGAAAGAAGACAAAGATTCTGGTTTTTATTCGGAGAATCTGTGTTTTTGCATCATGGACCTGTTCGGTGCCGGAACTGAAACCACCACCACCACTTTGCACTGGGGGCTGCTGTACATGATCTACTACCCTGAGATACAAGGTGTGTGAGGAAGCTTAACATTTCTCTGACTAGTATTCCTATGACTCACGAACAGATCAGTCTGACGTTGGGTATAAACTGTATAAAATCGACATTTCAGAGTATCACTGTGGCAGTGGATTGGAAGGTTGTTTTTCTCTGCATGCAGAGCGAGTCCAGGCTGAGATAGACGCTGTGATTGGTCCGTCCAGGCAGCCGTCTATGGCTGACAGAGACAACATGCCTTACACCAACGCTGTCATCCATGAGATACAGAGGATGGGGAACATCATCCCGTTAAATGTGCCCCGGATAGCAAGCAAAGACACCACCTTGGCTAAATACACCATCCCAAAGGTACAAAATATGCAAATGTGCTTTGTTCTATACATCATCTATTTGGTAACATAGCTTTGCAATACATAAAATGGAGACAATTACAAAAAAGTGATTAAAATGCATTGCATCATCTAAAAAAAAGCATAAACTGTTGAATAAAAACAATTGAATGTGTGAAATAAATGAATTCTGCAACTCAGAGCTGATCGCAATGTCTCTACAGCAACATAAACAAACTTATTGGCAGACACATAAAACTGCTTTTGGAAACATTTAGGAGTGACTAAAGATAGGAGTGTAAAGCCGTGTATTTACTGTGTTTGTCCTCAGGGCACCTTGATTTTAGCTCCACTTCACTCTGTCCTCCATGATGAGTCGGTGTGGGAGACGCCGCACTCCTTCAACCCTCAGCACTTCCTGGACCAGGACGGTAAATTTAAGAAGAGAGAAGCCTTCATGCCTTTTTCTGCAGGTTAGTCTTTTGTTTAATCTTTTAAAAGTTTTTTTTTTCTGCTTGATACAATTTAACAGAGTTAACACATGTTCACTTGCAGTCAGCCAGAGTCTTTGGTGAAAGTTATTATTGATGAAATATAAAATTTTGCTCTTGTAATTAAAAAAAAAAAAAAAAAAAAAAACAGAATTAGAAATTTCTTACATATGTATTGATGTGTAGGCCCTTATGCAAATGAACAGGTTTAGTATTTTACATTTTTCTATAAGACGTTATTTACGTTACATCTCAGTATTTTTACATCTGCCAAGAAATTATTTTTCAATTTTTTTTTCTTTTTTCTGGAACTACAAAATTTTTCCTTAACATTTGTTTCTTGGGATCACAATTTTGTTTAATTTAAATTTAAATTTAAATAGAAAAGTAGGAAACAAATATTACTCCATGTTGCATAACTAGCAATGATGTGTCGAACTGTGCATCCTCAGGTAAACGTGTGTGTCTCGGGGAGCAGCTGGCCAGGATGGAGCTGTTCCTCTTCTTCACCTCCCTCCTCCAGAGGTTTAAGTTCTCACCTCCTGCAGGAGAGCAGCCCAGTCTGGAGTACAAGATGGCGGGAACCCGCAGTCCCAAACCTTACCGCCTCTGTGCCGT